CGCGATCTTGACCGGAAGTCCGTCGGGCGGTCGGTTTCGGTTTTTCAATTTCGCATAATGTCTGGGCATGGTCTATCGACGCCTTGGAAAAGCGTAGCCGTGATAAGATAGCTGCGGCCAATACCAGGGAATTTACGCTCGGCATAAGTTCACCTTATATATGAGCGTCCACGGGAAATGCGACGATCCTATCGGTCGCGGCGGGGTCGTGGAGATCCGTCCGTGAAATGTTGCCCTGGCTAGTATTTTACTAGTTCTCGGAGGTGGTGACGTTACCGAAAAGCGGTCACCGCGTCCCGTGAAAGTGCCGGGAACGAATGGAGATAAACTGTCCGGCCGCGTCCTGAAGGAAAGTCTCTTAAAACGTAATTTGTTACCAGGACGATCGTCCTCGATGGCAGGGCAGAGATACAAGGAACTCCTGAACAGGGATTCGCTGGGGCTGACCGCATTTTTATCGTAGATTCTCCTTTGCACCGGCCAGCATCCAAAACGGGAGGCTGTATCGGGCGAAGAAATTTAGAGACTCTGGTGGAAAGTCCGTTGATCAATCGAGGAGAATCGAAGAGGGAAGCTCGAGAGCCAAGTACACTACTTTGGTGATTAGCGAAAATTCGATTCACATATTTATGAAGTTAAAAAGTGGAAAATTCGTTCTCATCACCAAAATCTTCCCATTGCCAAGTAGATGGGTTAAGGATACGTTTCTGAAACAAAGTGGAGACGATCTCACTTTTCCTTCAGGATTCCTCCTTGGGGATATCTTCGTGAATTTTTGGTAACTCCACCTGTAATTAAATTCAAGTGTCTTCTGTGAACGAGTTGCATAGTTGGATTAAATATAAATCACAGTAGGTATGGCAAAGAAACGCTACTAAGTGCGACAATTTTCATATCGCAAGAAACAAGGGAAATACTTAGGTAGCCCCCTTCAGGAACGTCCTGTATAATAATACGTGAAAATGTTTATCGACCAGCTTCGCCTTTTCCAATGACCTTTGAGAAGCAATTTCGTAAGAAGGTATCACGTTTGCCAGCGACCTGGAAGTCAACATGCCTCCGCATTGAACTGCGAGGCGGCTGGGGATCCCGAAAACCCTCGGATTGTCTGCGACGCGGCCTGAAACAACAATAACCCCATTCAGCGCGGTGGCATTTGACAGTGGGGTCGGAATCAATGAAACAATCAACCCGCACCACCTCTCTCCAGGTTTGAAGGCGGCGTTAAGAGGCCGGAAGTCAACAGTACCGGACAATGCAGCGCGGCGTCTGACTACCGTTCCTAATTAACCAAGTTCGCCAACTTCAGCCGGACTTGACAACCCTTAACGCGTAATTATACCCGGTGTTCCGTTCGCCATCGCCCTTTGGACGATCCTCGGCCACGTTCGCCTCGTTTTCGACCGACGATCGGTCCTGTTACCCACTTTCCAGTAGAGGATTCGCGCGACCCACTTTCCGAGTCTGTTCTCTAGAGGGGACACGTGTCAATTGGCGATTGGGAGCATCTGTTGCGATCAATTAGCGCGAGGTTTAGTATTTCGTTAGAGATCGAAAGCGTAAGGTGTCTCGAGACTGAAATCGAATTATTTAGTTATGGGATAGGTTGAAGACTCTTCGTGACACGCATTTAACATTAAACCTCATTTGTAACTATCTCTACCGTGACGTGACGAATGATTAGTCTTGCTTGAAGACACTTTACTCAATGAAGTGCAAAAATATTGCACGTGAAACTAAATTGAATTGGGTCAATTGTGTCAATTGTGTCATGCATGGGTGCATACGGGGACGGTGCTATTCATTGAAGAACTAAACAAATTAATTCTAAAAGTTAATCGCTAAAGAACACGAATTTGAACGACATACTTAAACTTCAACGAAGTTGCAAAATTAAATACCACGATAAATGTTTGATTACGTGGTTTCCTTCAGTCTGTAACCAAAATTTAATTACGGTAGAAATTCTAAAGCGTATTAGTTTGTCAGTTAACGTGGTAGGTTTAGCGTTAAAATATTGTACACTGGCTCGAACAAAGAAAACAATGAATGTAGTTGTTATCGAGACTTACGGGTCATTATAGGACCGTGAAACGGAGAAAAGGATACGATAACTCGCGCAAACGAGTCAGAAAGCAAAGAAAAAGACGAACGGCTCGATCAACGCGGCACTGATGCTATTAACAAACTTCTCTGCCACCCTCTTGCAGCCGCCTCCGCCGTAACCCCACCCCCTTTTCAGTGCATTTTATTATTCGCATAATCGGATCTGGGACGGCGATAGCGCCGGTGATTTCGGGTTTGTCTACGGTAACGCAGTTGTCGGCCCGACAATGCCACCCCTGAATGCCTCATTGTCTGCCAGGACCGACGCCCACTCAAAACTTCCACTCGCGCCATCGTCGCCCGTCATTTTCCGCAATCAAACGATTCGTGCGATGCGCTCTCTCGGTCCGCTCGCGCCGACAAAAGCGCTTATATAATTGCGCACCGACGCAATTAACATGTCTGCCGAGGTGACTGTCGCCTTCTTTTCAACCAACAGCGTTTCCTTGCACGGGAACGTTCGAGCATCTTTCCGGAAGTCGTGGAAATCAGTCTACCGCGTGGGTTAACGGACACTCGTGACGGAGGAATTCTTGTTTACGTAAGACATTTTAATGATAAATCAGAGATAGGGGAATTCCTGCACGTTAGCATGGCAAATAGAAATTAGAATTTAAATTATCGAATGGAATTTTGTATTTTATGTCTGTATTAAACATTTCTTTATTTCTGTCAGACACTTGAGTAGTTACATCGAGGAGGAAAAAGATGACAGAGTTTGAAATTGTTTGTATGTCGTTTCGACCCGAGGGATAAATTATTTTGTCAAAAATGAACGAGCATTCAAATTGATACCGATCCACGATGATCTTACCAATATTACAGCGTACAAAAATGTATATTTCATTTTTCTCAGCAATTATTATTTTCAAACTTATAAGATGCCCCAGCTCTAACTATTCGTCTCCAGCACCGTTCCCATCAAGAGGAGGACGCGTGAAGCCGCAGCGTTTAAAATCCTCGAGGAACTATGAGAGACGCGGTGCGCGCGGTGGGTGTTCCGATTCGAAAGTGATTACATTTGACTTGGAATCGTGCCTCCTTACCAAAGGCAGCCTCCGCTGGTACAGAGCTCGGCAACGAGGACATTCTTCCCCGACAATGCCTCCCACAATCGAGCGAGCGGCACTTCCGCGCATACTAATGGAGAGCGCCTAGACTCCTTTGGCCAGCCAGTAGTCGACGCCCCAACCACCCTTTTCACCCTTTGTGCGCACTGTGGAAAACTTCTCGAAGCACGGAGACGTTCTATTCCTCCTTTTCTAGGAGGGAATTACCACGACCTCGATGGATTTTTACAGAGGTGTCGTGTGCGTGGAGGTAAGTGAAAACGCGAGGGAGGCTCATCAAGCAAACGGGGCTAATTTTGAGCGTAGACACGAGGATTGGGGATGGATTCAGGCTTAATTCCTTTGAGACTCGCTGCAATTTTTCCTGGAGATACTCACCATTGGCAAAAACGTAGAAATCTTACGAAATAAGATTCATTGCGTTAAATTTGAAGTTGAACAATATTTTACTTATTGCAGAATTAAGATATGGCTCGCAGCTTACGTAGATACGATACACTGGAACAATCCTCTTTGGTACACTGAAATGATTTAGCCAGGAACAATTTCCGCTAATAAAATTTTTCTATCAACTCTCATGTCGGAGTTGTTACGAAAATTGTTCGATGGATATTCATTAATCCAAAGAAAACTGGTAATTTTATTAAAATATTTAACCATGCGTTTGATAGAGAAGAAAATTCAAATCAGAGGTAAAGCAGGTTACATATATTCTTTTGCGCGAATGGAGAGTAGAAAGGATCGGCACGTTCATTCCGAGAGCGAAGTAAGAATTATAGAATCGTTCTGAAATTCGCTCGTGCGCACGGAGACGTTCCTGGCTCTCCATTCTGCTGTTATCTCGCCACGAAGAAAGCGTGATTGCCTTTATGGGGGAAGAAAGGGTCCTTCGCGGTGGCGATAATGTCCTCGCAGCGGCGACGGAGGCGTCGCTATCAGAAATAAAACACGACGCAACGGAGGGGTGGTTCGAGGGTCGACGGGGAGGCGTGGAGGTTCCTCCCTCTCGTTCTAGAGATTTTCCTCCCCGACGATTCCAGCACACCCCCCCCCCCCCTCCGATTAGTCCTACGAATTCGTACGTAGGTGTCTGAGAAATACTCGACCTTCCCCGATCGACCTCCCTTCTTTCAGGGTTCTGTGTCAAGGATCCGTTTGCGAGAACCTACTTCCACTAAACGTGACGCGAATTGATTTACGCGAGATGGTAATTACGCTAATAATCGGTGGTTCTCGATCGCGGTGCTGCTTCTTTGATAAGAGAAAAGTTCGAATTTTTCGAGACTCGTTTGCTAACCACTGACCACCACTCGCGATCATTTTTTGTCTTTTAATGTTTGGACATTCTTTAACTCTGCTTAATTGCCTCGTACTATTCTGTTGTTATTACATGTTGTTTGACTGCGTTCAACTCAGTAACACGACATTTTATTTTATTATTTCGAGTTTCACAGTTTCCAGGTTCTAATTGTTTCTTAATTTTGCACGATTTTTGATCCGTTGCTATTCGTATTTTCGTATTATTTCTGCAACTTGTGTATAACTATTACGATAAGTACATTAATCGCAGATACAATTTCTAATTCTAATCTCTGATTTTCTTCAATCTCATTTCTAGTTATATTGACATTTATCTGCGAGTCAATATTTTTCTATTTTTATTTTCCCCTACGTTTCGTGAACTTTCGTAACTCTTTAACAATAATTTGTGTCCATTCGTTTTGATAAATCTCGGAGTTATCATACTTTGGTATAAAGTTTAAGGTGCTGGCTACCAACCCTTGACAGCAATGAGAGAAAAAAAAAAGGGAGTGTCTCTTCTGATTAAGTTTCAATTTATTTACAAACGTCGCGTTATATTACAGCAATAATTAACAATTAATTACGCGTATGTCGCTTCAAAGGGGGGGGGGGGAGGGGTTCCAAGATTATTGGAAAACTCGACGAATTATACGATCGCTACTATCTTCATTTATTTGTTTTCGTTTACGGCAAGAACGGTGGCCGAGGAGCTTACGTAAATATTGGAAAGATATGTTTCTATCTCTTAGATATGCGTTACATTATAATCATTCGTGCGATCCCGTTCGTATAAACGGTGCAACGGGATGCGCCGATTTCCTACGATCGTTACGATTTAGTATACATTTCTCTATAGCGAAGGTGTCCGTGGGAAATTAGCCTCCAATTCCGATCTGTTTGACAACCGTGTGTCGATTCGTCGAACGTCGACGCCGAAATATCGATCGAAAATATGCGGGCTACGGCCGTTGAAAAATTTCGGAAATACGGGGTGCGCATCGATTCCGAAAAATCGCGTTCCGATAAAAATGCGAGGACGCTGGCCGTGTTCGGAATGAATGCAACAATTCCCAGGCAGAATGCAAACAATTTGCTTGAATTGAACGGTCTATTACCGTTGGCCGATTATTCGAAGGTCTCGCAGCTGCGAATTACGACCTGCGCGAGTGTAGAGATGGGGAAAATTCTTGTCTTGGTAAAATTGTCGAATAACGAAGGGTGAATAACTTGTAAATAGTCGATAATTAACGCTAAACCGATGGCACGCTTTCTCGCTTAACAAACAATTCTCGAAACAGAAACGGACTGGAGCAAACGTAACGATACAAATCCTTCGAAGCTGTCACGATGCTGACCTTTTTTAAGAGATGGAAAGTTCTTTACCTGTTGTTCCAACCATAACAAAAGCCATTGTAACGACAACGCAAACTTGAAACTATGATCGATCAAAATCGACACAGCGAGGGGGTTAAAAACAACGATCTCCGTCGCAATTAACACGCGAAAAGCAATAACTCGTGTATCACAAACGTTGACATTCGCAGATTCCGATCCACGCTCGGCAAATTCGCATTGCTCCCTTTCGTAATCCTTGCGTGTCCGCGCAAGCTATTACAAGGGAGGGAGATACGATAACAAGAAGGGAAACGGGGGTAAAATAAAGAAACGGGAAAATATCGGATAGTTGCAGTATCGATGCGCGACGCCGGGCACCGCGACGCGATGAAATCATCTCGCGAGTGGGTGGACGGGGCGGTGGGGCGGGTGGGAGTGGAGCGAGTATATAGCGCGTATACAGGTCCGCTGTCGCATCTACGTTAGCATTCAGAACGTTTGGCTTATTTCGCATGGCCGCGTCCCAAAGAAGAGATTTGCCTCCGCTTGGAAGAGGTTTTTTTTCTCCCTCTCCTGGCGAGCCAGGGCTCTTTCTGTCCCCCATGCGTGTCTGTGTGCACATGCCTCTGTCCTACCGTCCCGCTTTGGCTCGCGCGCGCGGTAATATGTGCCACGAGAGGGTTGGTTATCTCATCAAAATTGGACTCTTCTGGCATCCCGTGCCGCCTCTCTACACGCTTTACCAGAAAGGACCCCTTCGCCTCTCTTTGTGGGATTTCGGCCGTGGCGAGTTATCGATTCGGCTTTGCCATCCACCGGGAGGCTCGCATAACGAATTCTTTGCGGCGACGATTGCACCCCGTTCGGCCTCCGCCTTCTCCGGGACCTTCAATTTGCACCGTGGTTTCGAATCGCGTTCTCTGGACAGATCGCTCGCGACAGAGGGTTGCTCCGCCGAGAACGCCCTTGGAGCTTGGAAGCTTCGAGCTTCCCGTCGTGTACGCGAGAAAGATGACGCTGGGGGATTAAAATTATCGCATAACGCAACAGGTTTTTCTGGAGATTCGCGTGATTTTTTTAAGAATTATGCAGAGCCTGTTTTATTCGAGTCGATGTATCAAGAAAAGGGAGTTTTTGTTTGAGTGTTGCGTGCGAGATGTCGGATTTTTCGAAGTTGGGAAGCTGGTATACCGTGAAACGCGTCGATTGGTCGAGGAATGGAGGCAATATTGGACAGAGATGGGCAAAACCCTAGACTTCGAATAAATCTAAGGTTTGTCAACGTATTTGTCTTGTTTCCTTTTTTGGAAAATATTCGAAAGAGGAAACGAGACAAATATGTTGACAAACTTTAGATTTATTCGAAGTCTAGGGTTTTGCCCATCACTGATATTGGACGATATTATAGTGGCAGAGTCTCAGAGTTTTCATCTGGAAAGCTAAAGTGACCAAGAAAAGAATCGAAGGAACGCGTTCTTCGCTTTCACGCGTGACTTTCAAAGCTTCGAGTTTCTACCAAAAATCACAGTAACAATGATGACGTTAAACAAAACTGTAACATTATCGTCATGGAGGAACAGGACCTAACCTTGAGCTTGGTTGGAATTTCGAGTCAAGTAATGAATGGTCTGTCGAACCGAGTCGAGTGTTTGAAAATTCCGAGTTACTTGAAGTCTGATTTTTTCGAGTAGTTCGCATTCTTTTTCAAACAGTTCGTCGATTTCCAGTAGCTCGGAATTTTCAAACACTCGACTCGGCTCGATCAATCGAATCGAGCTCAGCTCAGTTCGTAAATGTCGACTACTCGCCTAGTCAGCTCTGCCTACTTGGTCTTTTAAAGCTTTGAGCTACTATCGAAAATAGTAACAGTAACAGAACAGTAACAAAACGATGACATTAAACAGAACTGTGACGTTATCGTCGTGGAGAAACATGACGTCGGCTCTGCTTTCTAGGTCTATCAAAGCTTTGAAAAATCACAATAACAAGGTTGACGCTAGAGATCTATAATTATCACATCCCCCAGGATCGATCTTCCTTTTCCAACTGTCTCCTAGTCCAAAACATCCGTCCACACGATCGTACCAAGTCCACTCTACCTTCCAGTCCACTCTACATTCCTGGAATCTCCACGTCGTTCCCCAATCTCCACGCGCAACTTGTAACTGAACGAGGAGGCCTCTTCCCCCGAACGCCTTCCAACGCCAAGGATCACTGCACGTTGGCGACGTGCAGGTTTCTCGATCTGACTGGGGTCCTCTGCTGATCGTCCTGGAACTGGACGTCGTCGTCCTTCGCCAGAGCGTTGAGGTTCGTGACGGTAGCCTGGGGGATTGGCGACAGCATCGGTGGGACTCTCCACCAGTCCGTGGTCGGCCATCCGGCTGGTACCAGGTTCCCACGGAAGTTTAGATCCGGGAGAACCGGAAGCGGTCTTCATATGACGTGCCCGCGGTGAGCGCCCAAGGTCGAGCTGGATGAGGTCAGATTCTGAACGGAAAAGGCGCTCTCCACCTTCGTGGACGTCGTGGACGTCGTCGTGGGACCGCTGCTGGCTACTTTTTCCGTCTGTTCGGTGGGAGAGGAGGACGAGGACGAAGAAAATCGGTCCTGAGACCTGTCCTCGTGGTGTCTGTCCACGGAGGACGAGAACCCGTCGTCCTCCATCTTTCTGTACCGAGACTCCTCCCTGCTGGAGTCTCTGTCCGATGGGAAACCGTCGTCCTCCGGTTTTCCAGGACTCGGGAACGGTCTCTCCTCCAATTTGGTGGCTAGGTAAGACCTCTTCGGGTCCTTGGGCGGACTGGGACAGCCGCAGTTCGGCTGGAGGCAGGCTGCAGTCGATAAACTCGGCCAGGACATGGTCTGATGGCTCGAGTAGAAAGTACTGCCCCCGTAGAGGGCCTGAAAGGCCAAATCCGCCGCTAATTTGCCGCCGTTGAACTCCTCGCCCAGCTTGTGCTGGATGGGGTAAAGTGGATACGGAAAGGGCGGGAAAAAACGGGGGATCTTGAGATCCTCGTGGCTCATCAGCGCGTGATGCGACGGGGGCGCCAGAGGTGGCAACAGGCCTCTCGATATGTTGCCTAAGGTTTCACCTGAGGACATCAGGGGCGATATCGAGAAGCCGAATTTGTTCTCCTTCTTCACGAGGGATTTCGGCTTCCTGCGGGGCCGGTACTTGTAGTCCGGGTGCTCCTTCATGTGGAGGGCTCTGAAACAAAACGTTGGCCCTTGTAGAGTTTTATTGTTGGTTGGTATATAATTGAGTTAATTATTGGGTTGTAATTGGCTAAATTCATGGTTGATCTTAGACGACAGTGAGGTGAATTAAGGGATGATCTACGCATTGTACTACTCATGTTATTCGTGACTAAATGAATGTTTAAGTTCCTTAAAATTGAAATTATTTTTTTCTGGAGCAAGAAAATATGTTTGGAGATGTTAGCCATTTCTTTGGAAATTTGTTTAATTCTGATAATTGTAGAATGGATGAAACGTGCGAAACTTTAGGCACATTTATGGAATTGTCCAGAAAAATGTGTAAATTGTAGATAAAATTAAAGAAAGACTCGGAAGTTATGTTTTCAGAACAAGTCAATATTTTCTTCGGGCGTCTGAACGGCAGATAAACTAAAAAAATAAACGAATACAAAATTCGTGAGAGTGCCGTTTACATTGGGAACTCCGAGTTGAAACAATTAATTGACTCATTTATAGCCGCGATAGTAGTCCAATCCCCTGAACTTGGTTTAATTTCAACAATTTTACCTGGTACAACCCAACGAATATTTTATATATTTTCTTTCATATATTCGTCTAGGATCGAATAGACGCGTTTAGACGTCGACAGGGCTAGGCTTAGACAATGATTTCACCGGTATCTACCTTCGATAATCCGGGCGCGTTCGTTATCACGCCGAGAATCGCACGACGAGACATTTCGGAATTCAGTAAACTTTGCTCTCGACACCGTTATCCGTACAAAGGGACGTATTATCGTGGTGCTAGGACACGATACGGGCCACCATGGGTATTTGTAGTAAATATCTTGTACACACACCCCGGCTGGAGGCGCAGTCGACACGTCGGAGGGCTGCTAAAAGAGAGGGGAGGAAGGGAAGAGTCAGAGCCCCGTGGTATCTCCGTCACATAATACTCCATTATGTATCCAAGAGGCGCACAAACGCAGTCCTTATTTATGCTTCGCCTCGTGTAGATAAAAGAAAGCGAGAGAGATAGGTGTTTCATGGCTGGGAACTCCTTTTCCTCTACGACGAATTTTTCTTTCTTCTTTACGTGCGACGTGTTTTCGCGGGGATTTCTCCCGGAAACGTTGGCACAATGGGGCCTACTCGAACTATTTCTGGCACCCAGCGAAGGGATTTTATGTCAACATTCGTTATGTCAAGTTTCGCGAGCAATATGCGTGATCGATCTGTGATCAGAGTTTTTGGAAAGCTTGTATAGATTTGTCAGAAATAAAAGATAGTGGAGGTTTTTAGTAATTTTTAGAATTTGAGGTTGAAATAGAATGGAATTCTTGCGTTTTAGATTTTATTCAAGATAGATATTTTAGAGTTAATACTTGTGTGTCCACTTTTTTTTTTTTAAGAGACCAAGGGAAATGATTAAATTGCTTGCACTAAACGATAGCATTGTTTCATACAAGAATGAAAAATGAAGACGAGATATTCGAAAAATCGTAAATTTTCAAAAACGTTAGATTATATAGTTCCGAATCGTCTCGAAGCATAATTCCTCAATTTTCGCAGGAATTATTCCGAAGCGTTAAACCGTTGCTTCGTACAACCAGCGCTGCCCAAGGCCGCGCGATAGGTCGTCTAAAATTTTCCAACTCGCGAACGAAATCCGAAATTTTGGTTCCTCGCGGCGCGAGAGTGACGCAGCGGAATAATAATTCCGGGACAATGTGTCCCGGCAGATAGCACAAAGCGTAAATCAGCATAAACATCGGTAAAGCCCCGCCGACAATAATTCAGCATAAATGCATAAACATCGGGCGTAATCTTTACAATTCGCTGGGAAACCCTCCACCGCCGCCGCCACCACCACCGACACCGGGCATCGTTGCTACCCCCGTGGACTGTGCGCCACAGTTTCAGCATCACCACTTCCAACTGCGCGATAAACAACGCGTTATATCATATCGGTGGACATAAGCCGCGCGGTAGCCGCGCTCGCGGCCGCCGCAACAAGAAACAATAACAATTAGTCACGATTGTCCGCCGGTGCTCCGCGAATGTCATTAGTGTAACGATTCGTCATAAATGTCATTGTGCCGCAACGATCGGACTTTCGCGAACCGTTGACGGTTTTGTCGTTCGATAATCGTCCCTTTCGCTATGAGATGTGTTTGTATTTAGGAGGGGGGAGGGATGCTATGAGGGTTAACGAGCGAGTAGATAGTAAATGATGGTGGAAAGTAAGTTTCTTTGAATTTGATTATGTACTTGTTTTTTTTTTTATTGGTTGAATGAAGCACTACCTGGGCTGTCAGTAAAGACTCGAGCAATCTCTGTAGTCCTTCCTTTGCGATCAACTCTTTATACTTTAACACTCGTTTATATCGTGCAATTCATAAACGTCAATGAGCTTCTCAAACTACACTGATTTCAAACTAAAAACTTCAATTTCCAAGACTGTATCACCTCAAACCAAGAAACTAATCATTGATCCCCAAGATTCTTCCTTTTCATGACACTCTTTATCCTTTAACCCTGTATCTTAGGAATCGTGGCAGTCAACGACCGCTGCTAATCTCGTCTAACCTTCATATAACCTACCTCAAGCCACGAAGTCACTGTCAATATATACTCAAACATTTTTTAGACAAACCACCTCAATCAAGAGACTAATCATCGTTCCCCAAGATTCTTCCTTCTCGTGACACTCTCTATCCTTTAACCCCGTATCTTAGGAATCGCGACAGTCAACGACCGCTGCCAACCCTCGTCTAACCTCCATGCAACCTACCTGGAACCACCAAACCGATCAATCTCTCAGTACCGTTTCTTTCGCGAGTCACCCTTCACCCCTTGACATTTACACCTCGCGGAAGTCCGTGTCGCCAGGCGTCTCGAGACTTCCGAATGACAAAGCGGTCGCTATTTCCGCGACACCGTATTAATTCACCCCGTTTTCCTTCGCCCAGCCCTTTCCACGGTTTCCGCGTCAGCCGTACGAAAACGGGAACGGGGGACAACGGCGTTGGAAGCCTCCCGAAAAGAGGGTCTCTGGAGGAGGGAATCGTCGGACAGGCAGCAGTAGTGGCAACGGCACAGCCAACGAGCAGCCGTGAGGGTGAGAGAGCCAGGGGCGGGCGGGTAGGGTAGGGGCCGCCAGAGGAGCCGCGCAAATCCTTTTAAATCCACACAATTGCGACAATGGGGCTTTATTTGTTATCTCGGGGGCCACATTGTGAGTCGCCGTGAACGAACGGACAGATTACGTCGGGCCAGTGACGGCACGGCTCCAGGGGAACCCGTTCCTGCCAGGAACGTGGCTCCAGGAGAACCGCTTTTATCGGGGCCCCCTCTTGCCCCTCTTCTTTATTTTACGACCGTCCACACTGTCCCCTTCGAACCCCCGTGCCGTTACCAAAGTCGTCACCGACGCCTCCATCCGCCAGAAAAGCGGATTCGCTGTTACACGCTTCTGCCCCCGAAATTTTACCCTCCTTCCACCTCGTCGCCCCTCTGTCGCGGGTAACCGTCTCTAGCCACCGAGATGCGTTTCCACGGAATGAATATTGAGATCCTCCGACGATTTTTTCGGTGTTCGGTATGGGAGACTCTTAGTTTCTCGCGGTAGGTGTCTTTTGGGGGTGCAGGCGAGGGGGTAGGTTTCAGAATGGAGCTTTGGTGGAAGATATGCTTCTTGCCAAAGTTATTTTTTTTTCAGAGATTGTATCGACTCCGAAGGTTCCTTAGAATTCTTTTACTAGGGGGTTGGTTTGAATTTAATGATTGATGATGACGTAGAAGACTGTCCAAACTTAGATGAGTGTAGGTTTATGCGAAGGGGTAGAATTCAGCGGAGTAAATATTTCGGAGAATAGGTGCGCTGAAATTAAGGCCGATCGCACACGGCACAACCGATTTGAAATTAGTGTTGCAAACCGTTTGCGTATCTTTGTTTTACCTACTGCACTATCTTTGTTTTACCTAGATCCACGATCGCATGCAACTATGTAGTTTTAGAGTGGTTTGAAACTGATCGGTTGCACCCATGTGCGATCGGCCTAAAAGAGAATAGTTGCGTATAATGTATTCACCTTCGTAATCGAGGAAAAATACTTAAAAATATTCTGATACTCCTTTCTCGGACCAAAAAGCAACGAACCAGTAGAAGTGTGCGATGGTAAAATTTTACAGTACAACTTTCTATACGTTTCGCTCGTGCGTAACAATAGTTCTCGCGCAACAATTGAGAAAAGCAACACATGAAACCGTGCGCGAATTTGAACGCAAAACGTTACGGATCAGAAAAACGAGCGTCGACCGGTACAGGTCGGGTGTCAATGTTGAATATCCTCTTCTATATATATATATATATTTTTTTTTTTGTAGATTCGATCACGGTCATCTACAGAAAAGCGGATTCAACGTAACATTCCGCCCGTATAGCCGGCAACCCCAGTCTCGTTTTCTATTTTTCGAGTAAAACGAACACTTGGCAATTGAAAGCGAATCGACGGTGACGCGATTTCGAAAGAAACGACTTTATTATTCCATTATTTATTTTACGAGGCTCCATCGTCGCGGCGGGTGATTCCGCGAGGGTTTATATCGAAGCCCCAGCCGCCTCCTATCAATTGCCTATACCCGGCAATTTTTGCTTCGAAAAAACCGTGATAAAGCTGGACTCTGTCGGCGCTTTCACGCGTCGCACTTTTAAATTAATTCTTCCCTCGCTGCGTTTCCTCCTCGCTTTGTTCGTCGTTTCAATTTGACGTTGTAATTTCATCGGGACATTTTTTTTTACAGATTTTTTTTTTAACGCGACAAAGAGGTAGAGTAAAGTAAACAGGAACTGGAAGAACAATTTGTATTTTTATTATTCGGCAACGGTTTCGGTTGAAATTGTCCTTTATAAGCTTGAGATATATAATTGACATCAAAGTTTCTTCTTGATCATAATATTGAAATTTCTATTTTCATTCAACTCAATTCTGAACGAAGTGACCTTTTTGTTTTCGTTGATTTGTTAAGTGGAGCTTTGAAAAGCCAGAGGATAAGAAACACTACTAATTTAAAGTCCCGAAAAAGATATTACATTTTATTATACGTATGCGATAAAAATGGTTTTTGGTTGTTCGTGAAGGTTCGAGAATAATTTCTTAACTGATACCTAATGGGGCAAAGAGAAGTTGATTAATTTACAATTGCCTTAAAATGGAAGAACAGTGCTTCAAAAAAATCCAATATTCATGTCGAATATACTTCACGTAAGATGGCGAATATTAAACGCTGGATTTTCAATTTTCGTTCCAGCGATTCTTCCCAAATTAATCCCCCTCGATGGACGCTGATAATTAAAGGGGCAATAAAAATATCGTTCGATCGTGAAATCTCATCGACCTGTTCACCGTTCGTCGAGCTAAATAAACTCATAACAATGATTAAATATTCAGGATCGGTTAATAAAGGGCTTGTCCCCCTCAACCTTCATAAATACCACTTCGTTCGCCCTATTCCACCCCTTAGCTTAGCGCAGCACGCCCTTAGATTTAGCAACAATGTACCGTATTATGAACTACGAAGGCCCCCCTTCTCGTTTACGATCCTCCTTTCCCATCGGTTATCGCAGATACGCCTCGATGCGATAATTTCATTCGAGCGATCGCGACTAAAGAGCAATTAGCGTGCAAAGAAAAATCGTGGGCGTCGATTCAAAGCGATACGGTACGGTATCCATCATTGTCGAGCCGATCCTCGAGTGTAAAAATGAAAACTCATTCTGCACACTAGTGATATCGGTATAGAAGCGATTCATTGATATTTTTATAGTCTTGTAATTCAAGTAATTTTCTTCGCGTTCAACTAGACGCGCGTTGAAATAAACGGTTTTAACCTCGAACGAGGTCAGCCTCGGATTGAGGCCACGTACCGGCTTGAACAAATTTTACACGAAACGGGAGTCGAAACACAAACATAATTTATGTAGTATTCGGTACAAACGGAATATTCAAAAAGCGCGATAAAAAAAAAAGAACGAAAGAAATATATAAATGGCTACACGAATATAATAGAATACCAGATTCGGTTATTTAATAATTTTTATTGTGTTTATCGTTTTCCTAAACTCGACTCACTGGCAGTGGTCTCATTAGAAATTAGATAGGGATAGAGAGAAACCCTCTTAATCAACTCATGCGCATCCCGTAATAGATGACGGGTCATTTAGCTATCTTGAGATTCATAGTTACTGTTCGATGCTTCTCGAGACAGTTAGTCATTGAACTAGCTTAACAAAGTTATAGAAATCATTATGTACATCAGTATTGCGTACTACGTTTGATGTGATTTATGTTCTTCAAGAGAACTAAACTCCGCAACAGTCGAAACATCTAATTAGATACGAAGTGTTGCTCAATTTCACAAAATGGTATACATCACACCCGCGTTTAGAAATCTTAGGTACATAAAACATCCAAAATAGGGGAAACACAGCTTAATAGTTTCTCATTTCTTAGTTTCAAGGATTCAATGAATTCCTAAAAACGTACGAATACCCAGAAAATACTCCTATTTTTAAAAGATCAAATAAAATTAATACACCAGAGCTTCACGTAAATCCTTTTGTAAATCCTTTTAAGATTCTAATGTAGATCAAACCATTCAATCGCCCGCCACGAAATTAATTATTATAACGCAATTTTAATTCATGGGATATCAATTCATGGGTTCAATTGAAAGTTTCGAATTCTCACCTAAGTCGTTTGGCTTCGTCGATGAAAGGTCGCTTCTCGCTCTCGCTGAGCAGCTTCCACTCGGCGCCAAGCCTCTTCGAGATCTCCGAGTTGTGCATCTTCGGGTTTTCCTGGGCCATTTTCCGTCGCTGTCCGCGGGACCACACCATGAACGCGTTCATCGGCCGTTTGATGTGCTCATTGTGAAGTGTTTTCGACGACATCTCGGCTCTCTGTCTCTGATCCTCTTCCAATCGATCGCTCGCCCACGGAATCTCTATTTAATCGGTCTCTGTTGACGTAGCAATCGCTTCGCGCCGTTCCATTGACAGGGAACTATCACTGTTCTCATACTCGATGATCGCCGAGTCACCTCCAACCGGTGGCAAACAACGAAGCACAGCACCTCCTCGACAACTCAACCTCCAATCACGTGGTCCTCGAAATAGACGATTTTCGGCACCACAGGTAGTTCAATCGTTCCTTTCAGGGTCTAGAGAGTTCGATATCACCAGTTCGATCTAGTCAGAAGAGTTAAAACTCTCGATCATCCGGTTCCGGGTCAGGTGACCTCGTCAATCTCACCATTCGTTGATCTAGACGGATCGGCTTCGCACACCTTCTAAGATCCCGAAACTCTCGCGCAACCGACACATCCCCAGTGTCCTGGCTGGTCTATCACTGTCTATCACAGAATCTTTCCACGGAGTCGCGTCTCGACTGACAGCGTCTGCTCGTCCAAGATGGTCCAAGATGGTCAGACGCGAATTTCAACGGACGTGCATCGAGTTATCTCGTCCGACAGGGACAGGGAATACCACCGTCCCGTGACCCAAGCTGTTCGATTGATACCGTGACGAGGACTGGCAAGGATCAGCCAGGACCTCTCCGACGTCGAGTCTGGGACGAGCCAGGGAGGAATCGAGGGACTCGCGGAGTAGCCGAAGCCCCGTGGGACGCGATGGAAACCAAGGATCGGCCAACCAGAAATGTTCCTCCTCTCCCACCAGGCTCCGCGGCTAATGGACACCCACGATTGGCTCCTTCGCCGACATGGCGGACGGAGGATATAGGCGCGTTCAACAGGTGGAGGTGACGCGTCTCTGTTCGGTGCATCTCCTCTTCTCTTCTGTTGCACGGACGTTGCTGGCATCCGATCCGCGATGCCACGAGTGTGTCTGTTACGCAGATTATCGTACTACCGTGCCTTTTTTTCCTGACCTTTCTGACCGTCGATGGTCAGACTGTATCCGGGACACTCGATGGCTCCGCGAGACAATGCGTTCAGGTTTGATTCGGACGGGTTAAGTGCAATAGGTCCGTCACGACACAGACAGGATCCAGTTGAGCGATCGATGAGGAGATCGTGGGGGATTTTAAGGTTAACGGGGATCGAGAATTCGGGGTTTGGATGGGATTGTTGGACGAGTATGGTTTCCTGGAGTCATTATTGAATTTTTGTGATTGATCGATGGATTATGGAAGTGAGGAATGAATGTTATTTGGTATTGTTTTCGGGGTGGTTGATAGGTGATTATTTCACTACATTGGTAATAATTGTAATTGTCGAATGATTTTAACGGAGTAATTATTGATGTTTGTAATTGAGATGGGCTATGAAAGTGAGGAATGAATTTTATTTGGTTCTGAAAGTTTTTAGGAGTGGTTGGTAGATGATTGTTTGATTACATTGGTAATAATTGTAATTATCGAATGATTTTAATGGAATATTCATTCTTAATAGTTTGAATGCTCCAATTTATAAAGAACCACCACAAAATTTCAATATTACGTGTTCATCGTTGGTATGTTATTAAAATGAATATAATAGAAAAATTACATTTTAATAACAGTGCAGGTAATGTTCTTGTTGATATCATATTTTGTCGTTGGAATTACAAGTAGCTTCATTAGGAGCTAGATATCGTATTGATACTGTATCAGTGTTCTTGAAGATAATTGTTTGAAGATAATTGGGGAACGGTTTGAGCAGAGTTACGATTGAGAAAGTAAAGATTTTGATGTTCATTGATGTTATTGTTCATGGTTCTTGAAAATGTGTTAAATAAAACAATGGTTCTTTTAGTGATGAAAATAATCCACATTTAAGAATACTAGCTACTCGGAGAACATCTCAATCAAATATTATTTGAAAATGATAATACAGACTATAACATCACTAAAAAAAAAAACCCCGAAAAAATTGTTTAATATACAATCGTATATGTAATCGAATATGTAATTCACGTTGAATAAAGTGATCGACACCGTATTATCAGAGATCGTTAGCTACGTTAGCAAAGAATTATTCCGACGTAGGCGAGGCATTCGTTAACAAACCATCGTGTCCTGATTGTGGCCACGGCGTGGCACACAGAAATTTCTTCCCGCTTTGTTCGGCCGATGTACAAGCGCGGGGCCACTTCTCGAAATAAATGTTATCAGCCCTGGCAATGTCTTGCTTGGAGAAGCGACCGAGGGGGGTCGCAGGGGCATGGCCGGGGCTGAAGACGTCTCCAGTGATAAGACGATAAAGAGAGGAGGTATAAAACGAGACAAGAAGGCTGTGTGTTAGTGGCAACATCTCGACGAATTCCAACTTTCATAAAGAAGCGACCGTGTACAGTCCTACCATTGAATTTTCGTCAAGTTTTGAAATATTCATCTGTCGACACGGAAAGGGTCATTCGTGACCCGTGGAAAAATCGCGAAAACGAGGTGACGAGGGAAAGGGAATTAGTAAATGGAATGGGAAAGAGTTTCGAAGAATTTCGCAGCTCGGATTGAATCGGTGAGTAATTTTATCGAGTTATTTGCTTTTTACGTCTTCGTAATTTACGAAGATTATTCTAGAACCGATATATAGTATAAACAAATTTAAAATATGTTTCGTCGATCCTTAAATGGTTCCTCACTTATCCACGTAAACGTGGATTTCATCTGGGTTGCTTGACAAGAATTAACGACTATAATTATTTAAACTCTGTTCCACAAGAAGTTTGTCGAAAGTTTCTCAAAAATTTGTAATGATACGAAAATACTTTTCTATGATAGTACCGTCGGAACTTCTAATCGAAAAGTACAAGTTCGAAAATATAATTTACAGAAGTTAAAGCTTGTTAGGCACGGTGTATAATTTCGCGCCGAGCAGACGGAAGCGAATCAATGGCCGAATAAAGGAGGGAGGCACGAGGGTTCGGCCACGCGGAGATTATCGAAGGCAATCAGCTATTTGTTCTGTTATTAACTCGATCATAAATTCGCCATGCGACAGTGTACGAGCGGTCGCGTTCGGCTGTCGTTCTGTCAGCGTTCCTTTATCACCCCCTCGTTACACATTCCCCATCGCGCGTAGGGCGTGAACGCGATTTTTATCGGTCATCGACGAGAAGAAAAGGCACGCTTGGGGGACCTCGTCTCTTTTCACGCTCTCCTCGACGTTGCACGAAACCCTTATCTGGATACTGACACTTTCAATTAGTCACTATCGCGAGCAAACATCGCGCCTTCTTTCGCGAATTTCACCTCGTTGAATTGTTAGCAATTTCTCCTTTAACGCACGCTCGGTATTCGCAAAGTTCACGTTTCGCGGTTTTAACTCTCTTTTTGGAATTAATTGTTTAAAAAAAAAAAAAAAAAACACACCAGCATCACATTAATGCAAACAATGCTTTAAGCGATTTTAAGATTCTGCTATGTAGGATATTTATTATTGTTACAGATTGAGAAACATTCATTGAATCGTAATAAAGAAGAAGGATTCGAGTGGTTTCTTAATGAAATAAAGATACATTATCCTGCTGTATTCCATATTGTTTGTTTTTTAATTATGTCTTTCCGTTTACTTTCTATATATATATACATATATTGTAGAACAAAAGGAATATATTGTATATGTACATTCTGTGCGGATTCGAAGTACAATATCCCTCTCAGAAAATAAAGAAAAACCTCTATTCTGTCGCAACCTGAGGGACTCCTCGTCATACACCAAATCCTTCCACGTCTACATCGACTTCGACCATACGATCAGAAGTCTCAAAGACACCGTCACGGTTAAACGGCACTTTCCCAAGAAAAAGAAGAAACATTTTCCGGTGCGAGGAAGGTGAAGAAGCAAAGAAACAGCGAATGGGCCAAGGGACGTTAAGTGACTTTTCGACGCTCGCTTTTCTCCCGATCGCGACGATACCGAAGGCACGGGAGACCGAGGAGGGAATTTCTCTATCAGTCGTCGTTCTCTGTTCGTCCCGGTCACCTTCCGTTATCGTCTTCGTCGCTCTTCATGGCGGTGGGGTGCCACGCGACCGCTGATTATACCATTCATCGCGCGGCGTGGTCCAGAAGAGGGTTGCAAGCGGACTCGTAAACGTCGTAGCATCGTTTCCCCTCTCTGTTCGCCCCTACCCCGTCGCCCAGTGTTGCCCACTTTGGTCTCGGTGCCTACTACGGCCTTGAATGCTCCCTCATCAATGAAACAATCCAGCTTTCCGGCGGCCCGTCGCCGACGGCTCCTTAATTTCGGGACGCCCGCGCTCGCGGACGTCTCCCTCTCTTCTTCGATCAATTACCAGTGTTTGTATTTGTTTCCACGCTGATTTCGTCCATTTTCGTCGACTTGGACCCTCGGGGACGATTTTGTCCGCGAGCTTTCGCGGTTTTTATGCCGGCGATTCGGGGGTGGTTTAATCGTGGCGCGCGTGGACATTGAATATTAGGGCTCTTTAGGACATTTTAGTATTTAGGTATTGGCAGAGGTGGGGAGTATTCGGAGGTTTTAGTTCTTTATTGTAAAAGACTTAGAGGTATTGGAAAATTCTTTTACTTTTGTAACGGTTAATATTTTTAGTGCCAAGAACACCATTCTTGTGCCTTGTCCCTTATTACCTAGCTGTACTAAACAGTTAGATTTAATGAGAAGATTACACAGAGGTGGGATTATTCAGAAGCATTATTTTTGTATCGTAGAAGTCTCAGAGATATTGGAAAATCCTTTTATTATTGTCACGATTAATATTTCTAGTGCCAAGAACAGTATTCCTTGCGCCTCATTCCTTATTACCTAGGTGTACTAAGCAACGTAGCTAGAAGATTACACGTAACTCTACCGATTACTCCAAGAACCGAAAGCTATTCCTAGCTACTTGAAAATACCCCCCGCCATTATTTAATCCCGTCAAATGCATCGCGACCATGTTAAAGCGTTCCTCCTCAGTCCCCCAACTTTCGTCTCCACCTGGGAATCGCTGTCGAAGTGCCGCAACACCTGAACTTCACCTCGAAACACACATCCGTTGGAGAATTGGTGTTATATTTGCTGGTCGGTTGAAGTAGTCCGTCGGCCGTGACAACCCGCAGGCTGCACGGCCGATTGAAACAATGTCGACTCACAAAGAGCGCGAGGCATCATCGTTGCGATTGCTGAAGCGACAACAACGTTGGCCGGCGATGCCGAATGGTAAGAGGCATAGGATGGGCGCAGGAAAAGGGGACGAGGGGACGGTGGGAATGGGTGCGTCGAAATGCTCGCTGATTACTCCATTGTCGCGCCGGTTGTTTCAGTTAATCGCGACTCCCCGTGGCGTTTTGTTGTCCTTTTATCGCGCCGTTCTGCCGACCAGCTGCATCCAGCCGGATACCAGGGGGTTGCATCCCCTGAATTCAAGGAAACGTCGAGACGGCGATGAAATTCTTTAACGACGTCACCGAGCTCGTAGGATTGCTAGGCGAGCTTGGTGTAATGGAATTTTGGGAAAGATTTGTTATCCAAATAGGAATATACGTAGATTTTCAGGGAGATGATTGGGTAAAGTAATTGGTTTGAATTTTTAGGGATGCACGAGTATCGATGTTATTGTTGCTGGTTAGGATTTGAA